GTCTCTGATATATAGGCTCGTGTGTGTACGTGTGTGTGGGCATGTGTGCATTAGTCTCTGTTGATTTATGAAAATTGGTGCATAGGTGATCATCTGATTTTTATCTATTTAATATTTTTAGACCTAAATCAATATAGTGTGGTTCATACGGACTTGAACTTACTCACATTAGGATTTATAATGTGATACCTCAAGTATTACCAGATTTACAAAAAAAAAAAAAAAAAACTAGAAAAAATTCTTAAATTTGGTATATATTTGTTCTAAAAATAGGTTGTATAATGATTTGAAAACAAAGAGCAATGATTTTCTTATGAAATTTTATTAAAATGAAAGTCAGTAAAACTGTTTATGTACTAATCCAATGAAGTGCCATTATATTCAACTTCCTCTAACAAGAAAGTAGTATTTATAATTTTTTATGATTTCCTAAAAATGTAATTCTTCACATTTCCAAATGCAAGTTTTTTGTTTGTTTGTTTTGTTTTTATATTCTTTAAATTTGGAGATTTAGAAACCTAACTGTGGTGAAAAAGTCTCTTTGTCCTTGCCTCTGGTAGCTGTGCAATATAGGCAGATTGCATTTTATTTTTACTTAGTGACAATTGGGACTTAAATATCTAAAGCCTTAGACCTCACACTTCTGTGTTATGAAAACATGTGATTAATTAGACTTCTGCCTCTGTATTTTCCCCCTTGAATGCTGCAACAACCTTAGCAAAGCCTGAACTTGTAATTCTTCCCTCTTTCACAAAACTGATAAATGTCCAAAAGGTAATAGAACTGATTTTAAGGCAATGCTTCATGGCTACCCTGAATCTATACCCTCTTCCTTCAGTCAAACCACACATTTAATGACACTCAAAAAAAGATCTTATACTTAATAATGTTGATCTGTTTTTTATTGTTCCTTCTGTTTCTTTCATTTCTGAAACAATCTTCTTCACTTCCTGATTTAGAAATATAACAATCTTTCAATGGTTTTCTTATATTCCACTTTTTTCACTAATCACTGTCTGATTTCTTTTCCCCAAGCACATAACATTGACCCTTTTATCAATGATTTTATGAGTATAATGTCCACTACACTTAGCATACTTTCTGGAATTACTTGTTTTTTTGGTTCTTATATGTGTCTGTTTACTGCATTATAAGTGCCTTAGAAATAACATCAGACTTGGGTAATTTCTGTCTATCCTGAAGGCCCCAGCACAAGGCCTGCACAAGTAATAGCAATTTAATATTTATTGTTAAAATATTTTAGGCTTTTTTTTTTTTGGCTGGTGAGTGATGAACAAAAAGCAAAAATAAAGAGGCTTCAGGGATTATTTCAACTAATATAGATCATGTGTGCCTGATTCTTAAAAAAAAAAAAAAAAAAAAACTGTGTACATGGTAGAAAATTTTAATAATAGCAAGGTTCTATTTTTTTCTAAAGACAATTTTAGTTTGCTATTATCTGTACCAAGGAGCCCTGACGGTACAACGGTTAAGCACTCAGCTGTTGACCAAAACGTCAGCAGTTTGAACTCACCTAGCAGTTCCATGGGAGAAACACTTGATAATCAGCCCTCATAAAGATCATGTATGAGGCAGTTCTACTCTGTCATATGGGATCGTTGTAAGTCAAAATAGACTCAACGGCACCTAACAACAACGACATGTAAATTTTTACATAATAGAAAAGTACTGGAAGTGTAATTTTGTATCTTCTCAAAATCCTTCCCAGTGATTCCTGATATATGCTCTGAGCTGACTGAACCTTAGTCTACCTTCTTTCCCTAACTTGATTGGGTTACATCAGCTGGAACTCAAGCTATCCATATGAAGCAGAAAATAGACTTTGTGAGGTGAAACATGGCTGCCCTTACACATTCTGTTAGTTCACTGCTGTTACTGTTGGTTCACTGCTGTCTTTCAAGACCCGTTATGTGACCTTGCTGAGGCAGTTTTATGTAACTCCCTGGCAAGGAGCCATTTTTATCCTTGACCACTATAAAACCTCTATCCCCCTACTGCTGTGTGTGGAGGTCTCTTTGGTTCTGTTGCTGCCAGAAAGTACTGTCTCATACTTAAGTCTCCCTAATAAAGCTCCTTCACCACCACACTGGAGTTGCTCACCTCTTTCTTCAGTCTCTTGGTACCCTCCAATTTTTTAGGCAAATTTCAAGTTACTGGTCCATGCCTGGACAATATGTGAGCCAACCAGGAGACAGAAGAAATGGCAAGTGAGAATGAAGCATCTATAGGGTAAATCCTGGGTTGGCCAGCAACCTCGATGTGAGGAAGTCTAGCCCGCATGCTTGATACATGCAGCCTGCCATGTGAGAATCAGGATACCCACAAAATGCCAGGTGGCATAGCATGATTGTGAGTAGACGCATGCATTAATAAGCATGGAAAGGAAGCTAGGAAAGCAGTAGTGGCCTTGAGAAGGACACTGCTCCGTTCTGTTTGGATCACCACCAAAGCCCATCTAGCTGCTTAAGCACTCATAAGAGCCCTACTGGAAGAGCAGCAGTTAGAAAGAGATGTGCACCATTCATATGTGGCAATGACTGATGTATTGAGTAGCCACATCTGAGAACAGGGTGAGCAATTAGAGACACTCACTTTCAGGTCTGTAAAGATTAAGGGAAGGAAAGTGCCAAAGGCAAGGATCAGGGCAGGATGATGAGAGTTGCCTGGGAAGTGAAAACGCAGAATCTGTGGGAGAGTGGATCAATTAGTGAATTGAATATGAAAGTGATAGTGGAGGAGGAGTCTGACAGTGTAGAATGGCTTCCTCAGGCTCGGATGCTCACTACTCTAAGACGAAAACTATCCAGGAACCCGATGATCCCAGACATGAAATCACACCATGTATCCATGACAATGTTTGGGTACATTCCCACTGAGCTAATTGAGTTGTGTGGGAAATTCCAGTAGAAAGGGAAGGAAAATATTGCAAATTGGTTATTAGGTCTGTGGGATATCAGGGGAGATGGTGTCTCTTTAAATGGAGCCTAGGGCGATAAAATGAGTAGCTTAGCCACCTATCTTGCACTCCAGCAGTTTTTACATGCAGCTCGGAACAAAGTGGACATACACGCCCTCACAGATTGGATCATTTTGTGTTGCAGAAGGGTATGAACGAATGAGAGGGATCCTCCTGGTATGGTCGGGATATGGTCTTCTGTAGAGTAGTTACAGGAGTTAATTCGGGGGTTAGGTATTAGCCACACCATTTATGCCAAGCACTTCGAGGGGACAGACAATGAACTTTTTACTGCAGGAATGAAAGCAAGAATCCTGCAGGTGGCTCCTCCCTCCTGGTTGTGCACACTGGTGGCTATTATTAGTCCCTTAGTGTACCAGGTGGGAAAAGCCATAGCTGATTTGGGTGAAACTGATAAGGCTTGAGAGAAGGAGGTGTGAACCATGGGAAAATAGAAACAAAAGACTGAGAAATCCGTGAGACATGAGATGACCATCCAAGGGCTCCTTGAATGTGATCCAAAGGCAGATGTGGGTGGACTTAGTGGCTGCCAGAATGGCAGTGAACAAGATAGATAAGCAACTGAATGAGGTTTTGGTTAGCCTTTGGAAGGAACTGAAGTCTGAGCAACAGTATCACCCTCTGAGTCCTACTGCCCCGTGCAAGAAAGTGGCCTTTGTCATTGGATGGACCCTGCCTATCCCCTGAGACTATGAGTGGGGCCGAGGTTACCCTCAGATCAGGGCCCTGCAGAGGGACCAGAGGCCCATGTGGAGGTTACAATACATTGGTTAAGAACAAACAAGTAGTGGGTGTTGGCTCTGATTGATATCAAGGCAGAGTGCACCTTTATCTTTGGAAACCCTGAGAGGTATCAAGAACCTCCCCTTGGAAATTGATAAGTACAGAAGAAAGTCCACCCTAGTATGCCAGGTATTTCAGTTCCTGCAAGTAAGACACACTTCCCCTAAACCATATTAAGTTTATATTTCCCCAATACCAGAACATGTTCTAGGAGTGGATGTCATCATAGGATTGACTTGGACCACATCTGTGGGAGAATTCCAACTTTGAGTGGAATTCAAGACCTGAGGGGGAATGCAGAATGGGAAGCAGTGATCCTATACCCACCACAAAGAGTCATAGACATCAAGCAATATGAGTTTCCCTGAGGACATAAGGAATTTAGTTAAATTATTTTGGAATTAAAAAGAGTAGGTATCCTCCAGGAAATCCACCGTGCTTTTAATAGTCCTGTGTGGCCTGTGAAGGAACCCAGATGGGTCCTGGCATATGACCATGGACTATAAGGAACTTAACAAAGTGATCCCTCCTATATACACTGCAGTTCCAAGCATAAATTCTTTGTTAGAAACCCTTAGTAGAGACCTGGACACGTATTATGCTGTGTTAGATCTGGCCAATGCATTATTTAGTATCCCCTAGTCCTATCTGCCCAAGACCAGTTTATCTTCACCTGGGAGGGGCAGCAATGGACATTTCAAGTGCTCCCTCAAGATTATTTACATAATGCCACTATTTGCTTGTTATGGTGGCGAGAGATTTGATTCTTTTCCTCTTCCCCACCGCTGTACATTGGTTTCATTACATTGAGGACATAATGTTAACTGCTGAAGATGTTTCTCTGTTACAGGAGTGTCTAGAGCAATATTAATTAAGATTTATAACTTCCACTGGATTATAGGATTCATTAGTATAGAAATTGCTGGATTCACCATGAAATACAAAGCACCAAAATGTATAATAAGCACTTAGGAAAAACTCAATAAATCTTAAAATAATTGAAATAATTCACAAATGATACAATGAGCACATAAAATGTTGGCACACTAAGAAATGCCTGTAAAGTTCTCCACAAACAAGGAGTACCATATGTCAATTTAAGACACATCACAAAGCATGACATGTTTCAGGAAATGGAAAATTTTCTTAAAATATGGCTTTAGGTAAAATATACATGGTATTAAATTAATGTATCTGAGACAACTTTGTTTCTTATATTTTACCATATGATTTTACAAAAACAACTGTGTGTATATTTCTTGTAAGATTTAAAACATCTTTTATTTTTAAGTTTTTCCATAGCCCTTTCCACATCGTTATTTCTTAGGCTGTATATCAGTGGGTTTAACATAGGAATTACAAAGGTGTAAAACAATGAGACCATTTTGTCTTGATCTGGAGAGTAGGCAGAACTTGGTCGGAAATATATAAAGAGTATGGTTCCTTGGAAAATTGCTACAGCAGTTAAGTGAGACATGCAGGTAGAGAAAGCTTTGAACTTTCTCTCAGTAGAGTGGATCTTTAACACTGAGCAGATAATATAACAGTAGGAGACAAGCACTCCTGAAATGGTACTCAGTTCAATGAAGCCAAAAACAGTGAATAATGCCAGCTCATTGACCTGAATATCAGAACAGGAAAGGAGGAAAAATGGAGGTAAATCACAGAAGAAATGATTAATCTCATTTGACCCACAGAAACATAAGTGAAAAGCTAAAGTTGTATGTATCAAAGCATCCACCATGCCCACCAGGTAAACCCCAGCCATGAGCAAGAAACACACCCTGCTAGACATATTGACTGTATAGAGCAAGGGGTTACTAATGGCCTTGTAGCAATCAAAGGCCATCACTGCCAGCAGGAGACACTCAGAATCTGCAAAGATACAGAAGATGAAGAACTGCAGAGCACAGCCATAGAAGGAAATGGATTTGTCTTTGGCTAAGAGGTCCACCAGCATCTTGGGCCCAATTGCTGTGGAATAGCAGAGGTCACAGAAGGAGAGGTGGCTGAGGAAAAAGTACATTGGTGTTTGAAGCTGAGAGTCCATTCTAATTAAAATGATCATTCCAAGATTTGCTACAAGAATAATGAGATATACAACCAGAAACATGGTGAATATGGTTGCTTTGGTCTCAGGATTATTAGTAAATCCCAAGAGGTGGAATTCAGTCAAGGAGGAGCAATTTTCTCCATCCATTCTTCTTTGTTCTTGTTCTAAATGGTTACAAAAATGATCAAGAGAATGACAGATCAGAGTTTAACTCTGTTGGACATCCACAAAATATTATTTGTAAGGAAGAACACTTTTTTTCTGTAAATTGTCTTCTTTATCCACAGAAACAAGCCCAGATAAGTGTCACTGTTAAAGAAGGACTGTTATGTTATAGAAAAAAATTAAAATATCTGGAACATGAAGTTCAGAAACTTTGATTCTAAATCTATATGTCATTAATATCTGTCATTTGTATTGTCCTCTATTGTCTTATCTGAGATGGCAGATTTGAATAAACCTAAAGCTCATTCCAGATTCAAAATGATATGAAAAAAACACAATAGTTAGAGAGACAAAGTCAGAGGATACAGGCCTAAACATCTGACTCATAAAAATAAATACCACACTGGATAAAAAAAAGCAATCACATTTATTGTATTCATCCTGAAATACTGATTTTAAAGATTCAGCAACAATGAATGATATTGCATATAAATTAACAAATGAAAATTATCATGTTACTGTTTTGGTCTATGATGTCTTGAGTTTTAACTGAATAACTAAACATTAGTGAAACATATTTTATCCAACTTTTCTATCACACTTCATTTCTTCTTTGATGAGCATTTATAACCCAGTTATATGGCTGACCTGAACCCGAAAGTTAAGTCCACTGGAGAGAAGTGATATAAAGTGGGAAAAACAGAATTTAACACATGTATTTGTATCTCTTTGGATTTTTATATTGAATTTTCCATGCAAATTAAAAAGAGAAGAGGAATAATAAATGTTTAACAATTATAAAGTGTTCATTTTCTTGTGTGTGTTTGTGTGTGTGTGTGTGTGAATCTTTCTGTTGTTATATGAAAATTGAAATATGAATTGTAGTCTGAAGTTTTTTTCCTGTATTTAGGTCCATATGAACTTAAATTATACATATTGATATTTTTAATGTGGTACTTCAATTATGATTGGAATAGCACTAGAAAAATCCAAAATTCACATATATAGAGATATCACTTGATCAGTAATAAAAATTAATGATTTACTTACAAATTTTAGTTAAATTATAAATTAAATATAAATCTACTCATACTAATAAGGTCAGTCAAATTCACACAGCTTCATCCAAAATATGTTATGGTCTGGCTGTTAGATTGCAGAGTTTATTTAACTGAATAATTAAGTACAAAATTATTCATTTACAAATTCCTCAATATTTGATTCCTTATTTTTTTTAAAGAAAATTTTTCTATAGTCTTTTAGTTTGGTAATTCAGAATCCTACCTGAGAGGATCATGTCTTTCTCTTCTGATTTTGGATAGGTGAACACTAGGCAGATCACATTTTATTTTTACTTAGTGACATTTGGGACTTAAATCTCTGAAACCTCTGCCCTCAATTTTCTGTGTTTTGCAAACATGTGATTAATTAGATTTCTGATTCTGTATTTTTCCCTTCTGAATACTGCAACAACTTTAGCAAAGCCTGAAGTTTTCGTTCAAAACGATCAGTTGAGTTTAATGCTATACTGTATGGCTACCCTGAATCTACACCCTCCTCAGCCAAATCCACATCTAATGAAACTCAGACAGAATCTCTACTAAATGACTCCCATCTCCTTTCCATTGCTCATCCTGTTTCTTTCATTTCTGAAACAACCTTCTTCACTTCTCCATTTAGAAATACAACAGTCCTTTAATGATTATCCTTTATTTCCGTTAATCACTATCTGGTTCCCTTCTCCCAAACACGTCAACCACCTCCAGTTCAATGATTTTGACTGTATAAAATCCGCTACACATAACCCACTCTATATTATTTTTTTTCTGTTCATATCCGTTTCTCCCAAAATTCTCAGTCTCTAGAACAAGGATTTTTAAAAAAGTAATAAGATTATTAAATGTTTGCTTTTAAGCATCTTCTGGTTTTTTGGTGGATAATGAACTAAGAGTAGAAATAGGCAGACTATAAGGGTTGTTTCTACTCATATAGTTGATAGACTTAAAAATAACCCTTTTTAAGAATACAAATGTGTTATGGTAATGCTTTCAAAAAAAAAAACTTAGCTCTATCTTCTATCTACATATAGTAGTGAAATTATACATAACAAAATATACACCTGATCAACAATTTCTAAATGCCCAATTCAGTAAAACTTATTACCTTCTTCAAGTTGTACAGCCATTCTCACTATCCTTTTGCAAATCATTCAACCACCATTGACATAAACTCAATTCCTCCTAAGCAAAAATTCCCTCTTTCCCTTCCCTCTCACCCCTGATGACCACTAACAGTCTTTGGTTTCTATAAAACCAAAAACCAAACCCATTTTGTCAAGTCGATTCCAACTCATAGTGACCCTATAGGATAGAATAGAACTGCCCCATATTGTTTCCATAGTGGATTCGAACTCTCAACCTTTTGGTTAGTAGCTGAACACTTAACCACTGTGCCAACATGGTTCCTTGGTTTCTATATATCTTCATATTTCTTATAAATGAGATCATACAGCATTTGTAATTTTGAGACTGACATTTCATTCAGCATGAGGTTTTCAAGGTTCTTCCACATTGTGGCTTGCATCAGGACTTCGTTTCTCTTTATGGTTGAGTAGTATTTCATTGCGGGTATATACCACAATTTGTTTATCCATTAATTTGTTGATGAACATTTCAGTTGTTTCCTTCTTTTGACTATTTGGAAAAGTGCTGCAGTGAACATTGAATAGGTGAGTGCTGTTTTTTTTTTTAAAAATAACCTTTTTGCAACTGATACTGGTGATGATTGTACAATATAATTAATGCAATCAGTGTCACTGAATTGTACGTGACAAATCTGTTTAATTCATATATGTTTTGTTACATATAATTTTTACCAAAATATGTATTTCTAATTTTATGGTGCTTTAGATGAAAGTTTACAGCTCAAGTTAACTTCTCATTTAAAAAATTATACACATACTGTTTTGTGATATTGGTTGCAATCCCCCACAACATGACAGCACACTCCTCCTTAACACTCTGGGTTCCCTGTGTCCATTAATCCAATCCCTGTCTCTTCCTGCCATCTCATCTTGCTTTTGTACATCTGGTCTTCTACGTTTGATTGAACTAAGAAGCACGTTCCTCATGAGTGTTATTTTTGTTTCATAGGCCTAATTATTGTCTGAAAAGTAGGCTTCAAGAATGGTTTTAGTTCTGAGTTAGCAGAGTGTCTGGGGGCCATAGTCTTGGGAATTCCTCCAGTCTCTGTCAAACAAGTAAGTCTGGTCTTTTTTTTTTTTTTAATTTGAATTCTATTCTACATTTTTCTCCCATTCTGTCTGGGACTCTTTTTTGTGATCCTTATCAGAGCAGCATTTGGTGGTAGCTGGGCACCATCTAGTTATTCTGGGCTCAGGCTGGTGGAGTCTCTGGTTCATGTGGTCCTTTAGTCCTTTGGGCTAATATTTTCCTTGTGTCTTTGGTTTTCCTTATTCTCTTTTGCTCCAGACAGCATGTGACTAATAGTTATCTCAGAGGGTCGCTCGCAAGCTTTTAAGACCCCAGACACTGTTCACCAAAGTGGGATGTAGAAAATTTTCTTTATGAATTTTGTTATGTCAATTTACCTAGACATTCCCTAAGACTATCGTCGCCAGACCCAGACCCAGGTACTTGGTCTCTCAAAGTGTTTGGATGTGTCTAGGAAACTTCTATGCTTTTGTTTTGGTCCAGTTATGCTGACTTCCCCTATAATCGTGCATTGTCTTTCCCTTCACCAATGCTGACATTTGTCTACTATCTAGTTAGTGATATCCCCTCCCCCCACCCTATTCTTGTAACCATCAAAAAATGTTTTGTTTTTTCTGTGTGAAAACCTTTTCTTGAATTCTAATAAGAGTGTTCTCATACAGTATTTGTCCTTTTGCGACTGACTTATTTCACTCAGCATAATTTCTTCCAGATTCATCCATGTTGTGTGATATTTCACAAATTCATCATTGCTCTTTGTCACTGTGTAGTATTACATTGTGTGTATGTACCATAATTTACTTATCCATTTGTTTCCATTTTTCTAGTATTGTGAATAGTGCTGCAATGAACATGGGTGTGCATATGTCTACCCGTGTGACAGCTTTTATTTCTCTAGGGTTTATTCCTAGGACTGGGATTGCTGGATCATATGGTATTTCTAATTTTAGCTTTTTAAGGAATCGCCATCTGGGTAGTAGCCAGAAATTGGCCAGAAATACATAAAGACTGTAGTATCCTGGAAAATTGCAACAGTAGTTAAGTGAGAGGCGCAGGTGGAGAAAGCTTTGAACTTTCCCTAAGTAGAGTGGATCTTTAAGACTGAGAGGATGATGCAACAGTAAGAGACAAGAACTCCTGAAATGGTACTCAGTTCAACAAAACCAAAAATAATGAATAATGCCAGCTCATTGCCCGAAATATCAGAACAGGAAAGGAGGAAAAGTGGAGGTAAATCATAGAAGAAATTATTAATTTCATCTGAGCCACAGAAACATAGGCAGAAAGTTAATGTCGCATGTATCAAACCATCCACCATGCCTACCAGGTAAACCCTGATCATGAGCACAGAGCATACCCTGCTGGACATGTTGACTGTATAGAGCAAGGGGTTGCTAATGGCCTTGTATTGATCAAAGGTTGTCACCACCAGCAGTAGACTCTCAGAATCTTCAAAGATACAGAAGATGAAGAACTGCAGAGCATAGCCATAGAAGGAAATAGATCTGTCTTTGGCTAAGAGGTCCACCAGCACCTTGGGCCCAATTGCTGTGGTATAGCTGAGGTCACAGAAGGAGAGGTCACTGAGGAAAAAGTATATTGGTGTTTGAAGCTGGGAGTCCATTCTAATTAAAATGATCGTGCCAAGATTTGCCAGGAAGTTATTGTTAGGAGCCTTTGAGTCAGCTCTGACTCATATGGACCTAAGTACAACAGAAGGAAACATTACCCAGTCACATGCCATCCTTACAATTACTGCTATGT